CAGTGTGGCTGTTTGTTGAGCTCTGCTCTGATTGGCTGTTTCACAGTGCGGCTCATTTCAGTAGCTCACACAGCAGAAAGGAAACACAGGGAAAATATATATTTCAATACTTTCTCTCGCAGTTATATCGTTGGCTAATTATACTGTATATAAAATGCGGACATCAGGGAGCATTGAAACTGCATTCGAATGCACGATCGCGTTTTACTTTCACTTTCGAGATTTGCAATCGCATGTGATCTGTGTAAACTACAACGGCAGTACTTACCACACATTTTACAAGATCAGATGCTGGTCAGTGGTACTCAGGATCTGTAAATCATTCGCCATCATCCTCAGTCATCTCTCCTTACTCTGTTTATGTGGTAAGTGAAATCTTATGTACTGTAATGTAACAGGCTACCGCTAGCAAGCAGCTAACATGTCCCTTTAGTGGCTCACGTTATTTTATTAGAACGCGCGTTATTTGTTTTCTGTGCCTTTTTGATTACAGACACCAACCCATCCCTGCACTTCACATCCCCTGCACAGCCTGTAACATAAGGCATGGGACGATAACCGGTTTCAAAGTATACCGCGGTTTGGAAAAGTCACGGTTTCAAAACCACTCAAATTTTCCGTTATACCGTTCCTGCGGTATGCACAGTTTTTTTACGTGTCATCAAAGACAGAAAGTGCATGACTCCCTCAGTTGTGTGCAGCGAAGAGCGTAACGAGTCACACGACCCCTCCCCCTCCGGTTGGTGCGAGGCTGCACCAAGTCGTACGTAATCTATATATCTGTCATCTTCATTTCTCCCTCTTTCACCCCCGATCAAGACAGAGACCCACCCGCCGTTTGTTTAAGTGTTGAAATAAATACTATTTGTACTACTGAGGCAGATAACATGGCTAATTAACTAGCTAACGTCAACTAGATTCCTCCCTCACGTTACTTCACAGAGCGAGGAATAGCAGTCTAAAGTACGTACTGTAGCCTACTGAATAAACTGCTGGCTCTCAGGTGTCTTCGCCGCTGTTTGAGTGTTGTACAGAGAAAGACTGTGTGTGTGTGTGTGTGACACTCGTGCTCTCTCTTTCCTTATGTGTGTATGTACTAGGGATATGCCGGTATCAAATTTTCATGTTGCGAGTAATTGCTAATGCTTTTATCACGGTATGCAGTATTGTCACGATATTGAAATTTAGTTTAACAAAAGTGCTGTCATAATA